CCGACCAACAGAAACTGCTTGTTCTTAGATTTTATACTTAAAGAAAATAATACTTTTGCCTTAGCTAAATAAAGTAAAACAAAACTAAGTCTCAACCGAGACACATTGACTTTCCGTCAAAACATAGAACTTCGTATTTACGCATAACATTTCGGAACAAAAGAAAAAAAATTTTATAGAAGATTTTAACTTATCTTTGAGTTTTCGATGATTGGAACTCCGTCATTCTCTTTCTGGCAGAACTGCTCCCAAGTTAGAGGTTTCATGGACGTCATCTTCTCCTTACTGACCTCCGAGTGTCGTCCACGTTAGTTTTTCTTTTTCGCCCTCTGCATGCTGGCCTCTTGGAGTGGTAGTCGTCGGGTTGCTGTCTTTTTCCGTTTTTTCCCTGGACGGCTGGTCTTGGCGTCCTCCGGTCTGGAGTCTTCTTGAATTTCTTCTGTTGGTGGCTGGTCTTTTTTTCGTTCCTCCTGCTGTCTTTTTTTTTCGGGAACGGCGGCCTTGTTTGCACCTGACTCTCTGGCCCTGGAGCGTTCTCCTTGATGTATAATTTCTACTGCGATACGTTGTAAGTGGTGTTTTCCTCTTTACCAAGGTTTCTTTACGTACGCGGCGGCTCATTGCTTTCTTGTTTTTCTTAAATGCTGGAGTCTGAAAGTTTTTCGTTTCTTCTTTTCGGTACCGTCGTCATGGGTTGTAGAAGGGCTAGGTTCTCTCTTCAGTTCTCTGCTTCTTGGGTGGTGGAACGGGTGACGTTATTTCTGGACCTTCTACTTCGTTTACGACTTGAGTCCTGCAAGAAACTTTTAAGGATTTCAAAATCATTTGGATTATAGTATTTTTTTCACCTGGTCGGGACTTGCTTTACAGATTTCCCCTCTCTCGTTTTTAAGGTACAATACGACTCCTTTGATTTCCTGAATTACATAGGGGCCTTCAAATTTTGGAGCTAACTTTGCCAGTAAAATTGTCTGGGGCACTTGATAAAGAAAATTTCCGCTTCAATACTTTATCCCCAACTTTAAAATCTGCTTCACGGCGTTTTTCTATCATAATATACTTTTTGCCTATTTCTTGCCGTATCCGAGCTTTTAAGCGCCTGGTCAATAAGTTTTTGCACATCTTTCTGTTTAAATTCTTGCTCTCTTTGTTGCACAAAGAATAATTTATCTAAATGGCGTAATTAACTTTCGCCTAAAAATAATTCTGCTGGGGTTTTTCCCGTAGTATCGTGATTTGCCGTTCTTAAAGCATAAGCTAATTCATTTATGTAGCCATCCCAGCGCTTGTGATGTGTGCTAACGTAACTGCGAATTATTTTTACAATGTTTTTATTAACTCTTTCTGCTATGTTTGCCTGTGGTCTATACGGAACCATTTTGATATGGCGTATGCCAATTCCAGTGCATATGTTTTCAAATATTTGACTAATGAATTGTTTTACCGTTATCGCTAATGACTTTTATCGGTGCACCGTATTTTAAAATGTATCTGTGTAAGAATGCATCTGCGACTGTTTTGGCTGACGCGCGTTTAAGTGGAACAATTTCTGTCCATTTTGAAAAGTGATCTACAATTACTAAAAGAAAACGATTTTTATTTAACTCGCTCTGGGGGAAAGGACCAAGGAGATCTATGCCTAAAATTTCATTCGGAAATGTAGCGCGAATGCTATTTAAGTACCCGGCCGGGCTGTAATTAATATCATTTATTAACTGACATTGATTGCAGGACCTGACATACGCAGTTACTATTTTGTATAATTGCGGGAAATATACCGCCTCGCGTACCCTTTTTAAAGTCTTTCTGACCCCTAAATGACCCGCTGTTTTCGCGTCGTGTAATTCCTTTAAAATGCTTAATCGAAGCGAGGCTGGGATGACTGGTTTGTACTCAAGATTTTCGTTTGTTGTTTTCGTATAAAATAATAAATTATCTATTATTTCATAGTTTTTCTGCTCTATTTCTTATCGCATCGATATCTGTGTGCTCAAAGCTTTCGGGGTCTTTCAAATATGCATAGATACTTCCAAATTCAGGATCAGCTTTTAGTTCAGCGATAATTGTATCTCTAGAATCTAAAATTTTTGAAGTCAGCACAGCGCATTTAAATTCATTACCTTCATCGTCCAGTTTTATACGCAGCTTTGTTCTGATGAATATTATTGACTGTCTAACTCCTGCAAATTTAAAACGTGTGAAACTTACAGTGAGCATTCAGAGTTAAGTTTAAGTTTTCGCTCGATGGCAGTTTGAAAATTTGTATGTAAATATGGCAATATTGGAGCTTTCTGTGACTTTTTACAAAGACGGTCTCTGTTTTCTGCAGTGTATGTTAGGGCAACATATGAGACAGCTGATCAAAGAAATTACGTGCCAGTAGAAAGACAGAAGTTCTAAGAATTGCTGTGCTTGCTCCGCCTGCCGGTATAATAAATATATAAAAGACTTTCATACTATCCACCAGAGTTTTCTGCCACAAAATTCTAATTATAGAATTATATCTTTCTAGTTCCGTAACCAAACACAGTAACGCGTTTGTGAAAAGAAAAAAGGTGTGAGTTATTCATCTTTAGCGTGAACAAATAAGCACTTTCCCAATGAATGCTTATCGAAATTTATGATATGCCCTTTTCATGCTTTCAGTAAGTAGCACTTTGTAAACGCGAACATCGATTAGCTTTCTTCGTCCACAGCACATGCGTTTTTTTCTTCCCCTTGCTTTTTTCTAACATAGGATATGATATTTCCCAAACTACCAATAAAATAATGTTAATATACCGGTACAAACTAAAGTGATTTTTTGCGGGTTACCAAAAAATTTGTAATCCGATTTATCATTATTACAATCCGCAATGAAGAACACTGCTGATCATTTCCCTGCATCACTGAAGAAAATCTCAAGAGCTTTCTCGGATAAACTGAAAACAAATTTTTGCTACTGTTATGAGTTACCTACTGATCATTCTCTTAAGGGATTTAAATACACACTAAAATTCATTTAAGAAAGTAATATATGAGTATCTTCATCACTTGAGAAAATACTTTAAATAATTTATACATTACATTATTTAAGAAATGAATCGCCTTTATTATTATTCATTATTATCAAACTGAACTAATGAAATAATTATCCATACATATGTTAATTAAATGCAAATTGTTATGTTATAAATTAAGAATTTGTTAAATAATTTTAATTTTTAAATTTACATCAGTTTATAAACTTAAAATTATTAATAATATAATTACAGTTATTTTAAAAAAAATAAATTTTAAAGTTTCATAAATTTAGCAACTTTATATACTTTTAATTAAATCTGTTGTTGGAAACCCATAAATTGACATCTCATGTAAAAACTTTTTAAGTAGAGAAAGAATATATTTTTTAATGAAAAAAGTAAATCTGGCTTGTGAAAAATAATAACAGTTTGTTTTCGAGTTCTAATGGCTTGCAAATTACAATCTTTCTTATTATGAAAATCATGCGTTGTTTTTAGTAAGATGAGTTTTTCTTTTTAGAATAATTTATAAAATTCGAGTGTCGCATGTCATTTTTAATTTTTGATTTAAAATAAATAAATAAAGTAAATGCAAAAATTTTTTAGCTGCTAGGGGTTAAATAATGAGTAAAATTCACGTAAGTTCGATAAATAACAATATTAAGGCGCACTTACGTCACTCGCAGAAGTGTCTTTCACAAATCAGCGACTTAATAACTGCACAATTTTTTACAGTATATCTTAAAAATTCCCGATAAAATCTTACATGTTGTCATGCGATTATTTTTAAATTCAGTATATTATTGATATTTACTATATTGCTACTAATTTTGTATATGTGCAAAAATTTTAATGAACTTATATGTGAAATTATAGTATCATTTGTATAATGGGACGTGGAATGTTTGAAAAGAGGAACTCTGCAGGAAAAATAAGGTTATACAATATACAATCCATACGCATATACATGCAACAATATTATTTATTTATAAATAAAGCATAGCGATTAACATTTTGTGGAAGCATCTTTTTATCTGAAAATTGATTCGATACAAAGGAGGAGAACTGAGGCTAATACATTTAATTGCTTCATCACGAAAGCTCATTTGCATAATGAGCTTAATCTAGCTGCATTTAGCATTAATTGAAACAATACATCGAATGCTTATAAATTTAATATACTGTGCTCAATCACATACCTATTTTAAACGCCAAATAGGAAAGGCTTTGGATTACCTCGCAATATATTTTTTGTGAAAGTCTGTTCAGAGCTTTAAGTAAAGTTTCACTTCTAGTTTATCAGTTTTAGCAAAGATCTATTATATTGTTCAATTGGACATAAAATTTTTAAATACTAAAATTAAAACGTTTTGGATTATATCCTACTGCAGTTTTTATTAAAAAGTGTTTTCGGTTTCAAGGAAAGTACGATTTCGGGTCGCCCATTCGGGTTGTGTTGTGGGTTTCCTATAACGTACCACTTCCGGTTTCCCAATTTTATCCAAAATCTAATCAACTTTTTACGTGAATGTAGACAGCTTAAAAATACACAAAACAGAAATTTCGGAAGTTCGATTCAAAAGTTGTCGCAGGCGAAAATATCCTCACGCACAGACATCATTGTAAAAAGTCAAAATTTGTTGTGTTGACCCTAATTCATGTTTGTTCACATAAAATTCCTAATCGAATTTTTGTACCGAAAACATTACATTACTTGCTTATGTATACAAGCTGGTGAAAGGTTAAAAAATAAGTAAATAAACAAACTGAATTTAGTACTTTTATCAAGTTTTGTGGATTTTAGTGTCGATTAATTATTTAAAAATTAAAAAAAAAATCCTTTCGTTAACACCATTTCAAGTATTTTAAAAGATCAACTTTACTTAATTTGTAACCGAAAATCCGCAGCCCGATAATCGAGTGTGCACTGTCATAATGAAAAGCGAAAAAAGCATTTTGTGAGTTCATGGATTATTGACATCTTGATGTAATTTTCAGGGCTCGCTGGCGAGCATGTCCAAGACGTCTTCCACTTCCTCTGCAGAGTCTTCTATGTTACTAGGGAGTACTTCTGAACACTTAAGTGATTTTCCCTCCTTACTTCTGGCCTCATCCAGATCCCAAATGGGATCTTTCGGCGGTGATTCCAATCTCCTGAAGGATCCGTCCGGTTGTCTCAGGCCAGGATCCTTCCTGAGATCTTCACTTTTCTCCTCTCTCTCGTCCGGGTAAGTATTTTATAACATGCACCTTACTTGAATGACCACTTGATTTGATGCAGAATAAAAATAATAATGGAACAAACATTAAAGCACGCACATTTTTAAGTATTTCGTTGCAGGTCCACCACTACTTAGTTTCCCAATTAATATACAATACTGATTTTTAATGTTCTTCTAAAATAAAGCCTAATAGTATTTTAATATTTACATTTAAAGCTGAGTTTTGATTTGTTTGGAGATAGAACAAGACTTAATTTAATTCCACTTGGTAACTGCTCAAATAATTTCTATTTTGGTGTTATTTTGTTGTTGCTTGGTAAGTAAGCAGAGAACATTTAGAAACTGAAGGGCTTAGTTTAGAGCTAAGTGACAAACGAATAAAAGAAAAGTGCCCATAATTTAAGAAACTGAAAGTGAATATATCTGAAAATTTCTACATATGCAACTCAACGGTATGTCTGGTTTTTGAGCTGGATTACTTATTAAGTTCTGAAGATTTGAAAGAAAATGGCTTTGTACAGATTAATAATAAATAAATAATTGAAGAAGTTCGACATAATAATTAGCAAAAATAAGAATTTTTTTTTATCCCCGACAGTAATTTTTTGGGGCTCAGTCCAACATTGACAAAACGTTGCGTGTTACGATGGTAACGCAGTACACGTTGTAATATCTGGCTTGAAATTGTTTAGACTTAGGTCAAAAGAAGAATGTGGAGGTTTGGAATAGATTTTCCCACGCCTCTGACAGGAACGGAGTGGAAAATGAGTCAGTAACCCACTGGACAGCACTGGGTTTCGCAAATAAAGCCCAAATTTCTGAACACTGCGATAAATAAAGAAGTATTTTGTTGATTTAATTTCAAAATGCCGTCGTTACTTTTACTTAATACCTGGATCTATGCAATGATTTACGCTTTTGGGCATACCATATTTATTCGTATATGTTTGCCAATTTTTCATTGAGAAAGTTTCTATGTGCGACTATTATGCGGAGTAACGTAATACACAATATTATACACTTTTGACGATTTTTTCTGTTTCAAAAAGGAGATGGAATTATTACGCGAGTAAACACGGTATTTCACAATGCGTATATATATACTTTCTGAAAGATGTCACAAAAGTATTCTAGGGCGTGTATATACGGCCTTGTCGATCAGAGAGTTTTAACAAGAACAATTATTCTTCATTGGCTCGACAGCCCAAGGTGGGCCCTAGCTTTCTTCAGAAGTCTCCTCCAGGCATCTCTGCTTTTGGTAACTCTTTACCAGTTTTGGACCTTTAGAATGCTTAGGTAATTTTCAACACAATCGATCCATCTCACAGGGGATCGACCCCGAGGTCTGGTTCCCATGGGCTTTGATAGGAAGATTGTCTTACAAATCCAATCTTCGTGCATCCTGGCCAGATGCCAGCCCTTTTAAGTCTCTTTAGTTTGAAGAACTGTACTACATCAGGTTGTCTATAGATCTTGTATAGCTCTAGATTAGATTTTCTTCTTCATGATGAATTCAAGCGGACCCCATTAAGTATACAAGGTAATAATCCTTCTCTCAAACATCCCCAAAGCTTTCTCATCATGTAAAGCCAGCTCTCAAGCTTTCTATGCATAAAGCAGAACAGATCTTATAAGACTCTTGTAAAGGAACAAGACTACTTTGCATGAAAATTTCAAAAGCTTTTAAGTAAACCAAATTGAAGGCTACCCAATCCGAGCAATAACTAATCTCCGAAAATTTGAATCTGGGTTTTTATTCTAGAAGCCACGGAATAATTTTCTATACTATTAAAAAGCCACTGAAGATAGTTTCACTTTTTCTGTCTAACCTATCACATGTGCTCGTTTATCCTGAATTTTAAATATCTAGGCCTCGTCTTACACGTGCAAAATTGCATTCACCTTGAATCTCATAAATGCCTCATGAATGAAGGCCAGAGATTCGACTTTTTACAGCTGAGAACTTAATTTTATTGGTTGGTAGCGAGAAACCCGCAAACCGTATACTTTGAAGTATAGGATATCCCAATAAAAGCGCCAGACACGTTTGACACCAGACCCTAAATCACCAAGCTGTCGATCTAGCTGGTAAATAGAGAACGTTCTGCTTGATAATGTTGTTGCAAGCTCCCAAAATTCAAACTCGAGAAGAAACAATAAAAAAACTTAAAGAGAAAATTGATCGTATTATTAGACACCTCAATGGGCATATAGGTGAAAAAGTCATAAAGAATTTCATGGAGAGAGTGCGGTGCTGTAGGCAAGTCATAGAAGACAAACGCTATACACGTTTTTATTTTTAATCGGATTATACACTCTTTGTAGGTATGCTAAGATATGTTTCATTTTCTGAAAATAAATTTATTGGAAGGATTAAATTCTGCACTCTTGTGGGGGAACCATACAGTTAAAAAGAAAAGGGGTGAGTTTACAACGTGAGCAACGTCTACAGTTTTCGTAATGATTCAAAACACCAAACGTGCTGAGTTGAAGACATGAACCTTATTTATGATCTCTGGACTGAAAGATATGAGCTCATAACAGTTTTACCTGTAGCAAATATCCTCACATAACAAGAATCAGATATTCCAATATATTAGCAAAATGAAATCTCATATGCTTATCTATTCACATAAAAATGCAATCCAGTGTCATGATCTCCATAAATTAATTCTGTTGTATTTACGTAATCCAATATTATAATGTGTATACTCAACAGTTTGTGCTATGTTATTTCACTTTGAATAATTTTATGCTATTGTTCTCTTATGTTTAAATGCAACGACTCCAGTGTTCCACAGGAAAAAAGATAGAGTCAATTCTGGTTTTTCAAACTCTAGTTTGATTAGTGTACTGAGGCAATACCTGTTCGATTCTGAAGTCTCTAATGCCTCATAAACTTCTACCTGCCTAAGTCTCATTTGCGACGTCGAGTATGATAGAAGGATAATCATGGAATACAGCAATATTTTTCGGAGCCTCATTTCGCGAAGAGGCAGAAGTTTAATGCAAGTGAATTGTACAATGAAAACTCTGTAAAAAGCCCCAAGGATGTGTTTATAGGATGAGAAAAACAATCATGTGGTAGACATTTACTCACAAACAAGGATTAAATCTTCCTTGAATTTCTCATTTGAAACGTAATGTGCACGAACATTGTTAAAATATAATTTTTATATTTAAAATGAAAAATCTTTGGTTCTCCTCTAATAAGTAATTCCTTTCCTTTAGCTTTGTATTCATGTGCAAGGTTTAGTTTTGATTCGTTGAGAGACAAAATTAGAGCTATTTTGGTTATTTTGCAACGTTTAGTACCTGTAGTGGTACTGTGGAATTTTTTTTTTTTTTTTTTTTGAGCAAGAAACGTTAATGTTTCTTGCGTAGAAATGTGTAAAGAAAAATACGTATCCTGTTTTATAGAATTCAACAAATGATTCGAGTACGGAGAAGCGAAGCTTACATTGGGAATGAAATTACATCTGCGTCTTCCCTGTGAAGTATTATTCCAAAAATCTTGCCAATATTTTGAAGCAAGTTGTTTTAGTTGATACTTGAAATTTGAACGATGCCACTGAAAAGATGATTCCAATACCATCTCGATTAAGAGCCGCTTCTTTGACTAATTCATCTGCCTCATTATTTCCAAAATGGTCACTACGTCTTTCGATTCATCAAATTTGAATTTTGTAGTTTGGAACTAAGCAAGAAGAGAAATTATGTCTGAAATCAATGAAGAAGGCGAGGCAGTCTTTATCGCTAAAACAGCTGCTTGGGGGTCAGATGTTATGTGCAAGAATTCGTAGGGTTACTAGGAAATTTATCGCTTTAGCATGACAGTGATTATCATCATTAATCAGGAAGAATCCTTGAGTGTTTGGACTCTAGGGGAATTATTGTGTTTCATCAACATCCCTATTTTCCAGGCTTATCTTTTCTGGACTATGTCCTACTCTCTAAAAGGAAACTCAAAAGGATCCGTTTTCACAATGTTTAAGGATATATATTGTGTCCTCCTCGTCGCTGGTGCAAAGAAGAGTTATCAAAAGCATTTTGAAACGCTGTATGCTGATTGAAATGACGGCATTGATGCTGTAGGAATGTGTTAAGTAACCAAGCGCTAAATAAGTTTGCTATGTGCTGATAAGTAGTTTGTTTTTTGTCCCAGTGGCGGAGATTAGACATTATAACGTTAGTTCCTTTCGAGGCCGGAATTTACTTATTATGGAGGCAGATAATAGACGCCGTTGCCTTCTATGAAGGGACAGACAATTTACTTAAAAATTTTGTAGGCATTATTTTAAATTTTTAAAGCTTTTGAGTATGTGTTACTAATTAGCTTTATCTTTTTTAAAAGTAATTATTGAAAAGGTATGTTTCAATCCCAAACTGTGTCTGAAATTAAGAAAACAACTTTTAAAATAAAATTTATTTCTTTGGCGATGAAAATTCAAATTTTGAATCGTCCGTTCTAAAGGCATCTAACGTCACAAAACGTCTAACCTTAAACCAGGCAACAGTGAGAACCATTAAAAAATGCTTTTTTAAAACGTTTTCGAAACTGTCTTATAGGAAGGATACCTGTATATGGCGAAAGTAATAATATAAGAACGAGATTTTAACTATTCTAAAAATGTGTAGTTGGTTGGTTGTTTTTTATTTTATTAATTGGCTGGTACATTAAGATAAAACACGCGAGGAGTTTCTTAAAAGAGCGTGCATTTACAATGTATTTATTCTTTATCCATTTCTTGAAACATTTTAAGCCATAAGTTGTGTAAAGTCATTAGATTTTTTTGAGCAAGAGACATGAAAAATGTGCAGTGCCCTCTTTGGAATTCGAGCACTGGACTTCCTGATTGCTGGCAGGGCGTGCTATTCATTTAACACCCCAAGTTTGGGGGTTAGCATTTATGCTAAAAATTTCACTTCTGATGCCTTAACAAGAAATCTGAAATCTTTTGAAGTAGGTCAAACCATTTCCAAATCCTCTTACTGACCCGACAATATCATTATTTCAAGGATCTATAAGTTTTATATTTTATAACAAATCCAAGGGCTAATTTTTACTGAAAATTTCATGAAGCAAGACACTTCAGACGATAAATTGGCTGTAGAAAACACAGCAGTAGTAAAACAGATTAAAATTCTTTGATTTCTTTAATCCCTTGGTAGAAACAACTTCGATAAAGAAATGTGTAATCAGTGAAAGATTCCACTTTCGGAACACAGAAACATCTTCGGAAACAGAAAGGTCGAAAATTTCATAAACGTTTCCCATCTCGCAATCAATTGTCTGCAGAAATTAGAATAATCCTTAAATAAATTAACGGAAGTTTTAAAAATTTTCTGAAATTTTGTCTCGTTTTAATGAGTTCGTTTATCAGGAAATATCTGCTTCCCTTTGTAGTACTTAACCAGAAATTTCAAATTCCTTCAAAAAAATGAAATCCATTTCCAAGTGACAATTACTCTTCAGATTCCACCATTATTTCCAATATTCCTACAAATTACGTTCCGTAATAGATGGAGCGGGTAAATATTTTTCGTATTAGTGATTTAAAACATAATAAAATAGGTGCAGAAATTGAATGGAATTACTCGCCTACTTTCTTTTTCGAAATAATTTCCGCCGGATGGGAAAAGGGCTTTCAAACAAAACGGGTCGAGTTTAAAAGCGAAAAGCTACCTAATGAAAAATCCATTTTATTCAGCAAGCGACCTAATGCTCGCATTTTAATTAGATTAATTGGAGGGTTATTTACGACTATGTACTTCCTCTAATTACCACAAAGAGGAGTTTCCTTCTTGCCTTCTCACCCCCAACCCCACTGCCGCCTTATTTTTTTTTTACTCGAACTTCCTAGCACTCCATTATGTGCCCTGACCTTAAGCCTCCCCTTATTAAGCACCCCAAGAAAACAAACGGAATCGAATTAGCAGAGTGCAAAGTCTTAATTCAATTCAATTAAAAATTCCTCTCTCCCTTTACCTCTTTGTTTCGGAGATAATTGCGTTGCCATTCCGTAAGAGAGAAAGAGAAAGAGAGAGGAAAACATGCCGGGAAGATCTTCTGCATTTTTAGTTTAAGGAGGCGGACCAATTAGAATTTGATGGAAAGTCGAGCCTCCGGTCCTGACGTCTCACCCGGACCGCCTGTCAACCCGGTTTGGGAAGAAGAGGAGGAAAAGCTTTTCATATAAAACATCCAGAGAGAGAGAGAAGCAGCAAAGAAAAGGGCGGAACGCAAAGGGGAAGGCAAAAGGACGGTAATGGAATTAGGAATAGAGAAGAAAAGAGGATTCGCTGATGCTCACTGTAGTGAGGAGACTCTTCAAGAAAGTATTGCCTTCATTGCCTAATAGAAATCAAAGAGATTATGTTATACCTTTCCAGCTAAAAGATCTGAGTGCCATTACTATTTGCGAAGAGAACTTTTTGAAAAGAATGCGTTAAAACCCGGTTTAGCTCAAGAATGAGCAGTTTTGTCGAGCCGACGAAACGCTTTGCTTTGCTTTCTCTTTTCTCGCAGGAGTTCCGGACGTGCGCATGCGCAGAAGCAAAGATTTTAAATATTTAACGATATGATACGACTCTGCGGAATTACACCTGTCAATATTAGTCACACTGAATTTGCTAGTTCAGAATTAGCTCAGTTTTATTTGCTTACATATTAATATATAAGGGTGTTGTTGCTTTCGTTTTACCGAGGAAATTGCGTCCAGGTGAAGTAGGGAGCTAATCCCAGTTTAAGTGGCATACGATCTTTAATTACTTTTCAGATTTATATGACTCGACGATAAAGCGAGTTGTTCAAAAGCAACATTCATTCTTATTAATACACTGATACTTTTAAATAGCAGTAAGTTAATTAGCAGAATAACGTTTCTCATTTAATATTGTCTCTTATTTGAAAATAGAATGCTGACTTTTACTAAATATGCTTTTGATTGTTATTATTACACGTCCCTACTACTTCCAATTGCTCAAAACATTCCTATCGATAAAAAATTAAACATGTTGTTGATGATAATCTCACTTCTGTGACCTAATCACAACAAGCTTGCGAATAATTTCGTGGTAAGTAGTGCAAGACTGCATCTGTCGCAGGCATGGATCTTGAGTGCCCAGCCTCAGTATTGGACGATAGCATAGTACCTCGAAAGATGGATCCGAGGGTCTTCCAACACCTCTTTTCCTACTAGCAAACCCTTCGAGAGAACTTTCAGCTAGCCGCACATTTTAAACGCCCTTACTGCACAGACACTATACATTTACAAGCATCCGTACCTCCTCCGGGATGCGAAACTGGGGCCATCAGTACGGCAGTCAGCGTTATTAATAACTATACCGCCTAGGACGGCATGAAGCTAATAAATATAGCAATGATAAACAATCTTATACTTTTCTTTGTTTTTTCAATAGTAAAATGTCAGTTGCTATATCTTTCAAGTGTTGATATGGAACCGGATTTTCAAGACTTTTTTTTTCCCTGTACTTTTCTTTAACAGATTCCAGCAAATCTTATCGTAACTTGTCCAACCGTTAACAACAATCAGAAGGTATTAAAAAGTAGTATATTTGAATCAAATAGTAATTGAAAGTGTTTAAGAAATAAAATTACTTTAATAAATACAGCAGCACTAGGAAAATAGTAATCGATGTGTTTTTGTATTTTTAGTTAGATACTAATGTTCTTGGAAAATTCAGTATTTACTATTATACATAGCATTAAGTAAAGAAAAACTTCTATATTTTCATCGAATCTTTGTCTTCTTATCTTTCTCTTTTGACAGAACGTCTTTTTTAAATGTAAAAGTCTTCTATAACATTTTTTTTTAAATTACAGATAAATTCAAATACATCAGACTTAATATTCATAATTTATTTCAAGTTATTTGATATTATTATTATTATTGTTGTTGTCATTATTATTATTGTTATTACTTTTATTATTACTATTACTAGTATTACTATTATAATTAGTACTATTATTATTACTATTATAATTACTACTATTATTATTACTATTATAATTGCTAGTACCTATTATAATTACTCTAATTACTATTACCTATTATAATTACTATTACCTATTATAATTACTATTACCTGTTATAATTACTACTATTATTATTATCACCTTCGTAAATTAATATTACTACTACTACTACTATCGCTGAGTCGTTTAGGCATCTGAAAAAACGAAAACTTCAAAGTATATTTAATTATGCAATCACAACTATAACATGATACACTGCATATTAGATAGAAGAATCTGCGTATTGAAAGTCCTTTAAAGTGGGTTGCAGTTTCATACTGTTATGGTTCCTATACGTAAATGGCGTCAATAAGGGCTGAGCGGTTAAAACTGATGAGTACTAGGATTCCACCCTAGTTCGATTCCAAGCGAAGGGGGCCGGCTGCATCCTTGATTCTCATGATCTTCTCTATGTGTAACTTGATTAAGATTCAGTTTTCCCTAGAAAGTTCTCTAGGTAGACATCCCTTGTGCAATACAAAGAGTGACCATTGTGCAATACATATAATCTTTCATTTTTCATCAGGTGAAATATATTCGTCAGTTTCAGATTGAGGAATCTGTCAGACTGACATTCCGTGAGTTATAACCGATCGCTAGAGTGTTATGGTTTAATTTTTTTTAATAATATGTCACTGATATAACTTAAAAAAATACATTTAATTTATAATACATCTCGTTGATAATTTCTATGAATTTTATCACTATTATTATGATTTTTAAAATGTGTTTCTTACGACATATTTAACTTACTTCGATGTAGAAAATTTTGTTTTACATATTCCTCACTTTTCTTAAGAAAAGCATATTTTGTACACTTTAAAGCAATCTTTTTGAAAAAAAAAGTATGCTTTCAAGTGCTATTATCTTTCAAGTGTTAAAACTATTATACATAACTCTTTCATTGATTTCATTCTATTGTTACTTTCTTTCATTACTCATTCTTTCATTTTCATATTTTAAATTCTTTCCTTTAAATTCTTCCCCTGCAATTTTTTATCATTTTTATTATTGTTTCATTGCATTAAATTCCATGCTTTCATTTTCATTTCATTTTATTTTGAAATAAATATTTAAAATTCTTTCACTATTACATTAACTTAATTTAAATTCGTTCCTTTCATTGCAGTCACAAATCTTAAGATGAAATGCTTTACTTATAGAAGCTCTTCCACCTTTATCTGATTATTAGTTTTCTTTTTCAGCGGACCTCTGAGTAGCCAGGCGTGCATGGAGAGCATGATGAATCCCGCAAATCACGGGAGGTTCCCTCTGCCGCCTATGTACTTTCCTCACCATCTTAGTCATCAGTTCGCTCCCACCAGTCTGCCCTTCAAAGGTCAGTGGAGCTGTGTACGTATCCCAAACATACTATATTCAGAAGAAACTGTGAATGCTTCTATAACTTATATGTGAATTTCCGCTGGTTATTTGAGAATTGTTACTACCATGATAAATGATCTCATGTTACACTGCTACCCATTCGCAAAATTATCATAGTGCCATCTTTTCATTCATTGTAGAGAAAGTACCAGATTTTACTGATGCGATCCAGGATAAAAACATCATATTACAGAATCACTTGTGGGTGTTTAGGTTTAAGTTTTGCAGGAGTTGCGAGGCGTGCAAAGGGATTGAAATCGGTCTGCAATCACTATCTGCTTTTATGACAGAGCAATTACCCACTTCACCGTCCTACGAAACTCAAATATTTGTTTCTTTTTTGCCCTCCAAAGACAAATTTTTTGCTCCTAAATTGACCTTAGAAGTGCATCTTAAGCACTTACAGCAGCTTTCAAGCTATTTAGAAGTTTGCGCCAAATCAGTTTGGACCGCCTGCTTGTCACACTGAAGAAGGCTGAATAGCGTCTACCAAGAGAAAAAAAAGTTCTTCTCTGTTACCTAGTCTCTTATCTGAAAGTTAGCAAAGATGATGCTTTCAAATGAGCATTAGTTCCCATTTCAATGCCAGCTGAAAGGAGAATGGTAGTGCATCCCCATTTCCCGTCTTTTTAAGTTAAGCGAAATTTACTTTGTGTGATCTTGATACAAACCCACTCTGAGAGAGCGGTACCAAATTTGGACATAAACGTCTTCCTTTCATTTCTGCTGCATTCTGGTGGTTGAAAAACACAAAGCGACTAGTCTCTCTTGGACGCCCAGGCGAAATGTAGCCCCGATGAGTGCATCTCATTGCTGACGTCAGACCACACTTTTCAAATCGAGGAGTCTGCCTCCGAGGAAAAGGTTAAGTGGTTATTTTTTAAAACTATAACTACATAGTTGGTTTCAATAAATAAACGTCAGGAAACTAAATAAACATTTCTCTTATAATGGAAGTCATGATTAATCTAAGGAATGAATCTAACAGGTTTTTGACTTAGGTTTCGTTATCGAAGCATTAATCAACCTCGCGAACTGGAAAATTACCAATTCAAACAAATATTAAGCTCCATTTTGCTATCACAGTATTAATTACTGTCTTACTGTTGTTAAAAAACACGTGCGTATATTTACTGACAATTTTTATTATTATTGGTCTTAATAATGTAAGTGATATGCTATTAATTAATTAATAGCCATTAATTAATAGCGTTCATGAACTTCACTCTATAAAGAAGAAGAATGGAAAACGGAATCCAAAAATCTTAATTTCACAAATAGTGGAGCCAAATGCTGCTATGAGAAATGTGATTAAGTAAATAAATTTTAAACAACTTTTTTTTTATCTTTACGAGGGGCAAATCTAAAATGTGAAGAATATAAAGAACAAAATTCCATTGAAATAAATCGGAAATGCAAAAAGAGAAATAAAATGTGTATCAAAATTTTGCCTTTCATTTGAGACAACACCAAAATATTATAAAATGTGCTGTATTCGTGAATTCATTCCGGAACAAATTTTAAAATTTAAAATTAAATTCTGAGAAGTTTAAAATTTTTGATAAAATTGTTAATTAAAAAAATAAACCAAAGCTCATAAAACAATTCTTTCCCAAAACAATTCTGCCCGAAAACAGCGCAATCAAACAAAACCGATGCGGAAAACGCAAATTGAATTTTAATTTCAAAATAAAATTACGCAATCTCTCGGAAGAAGCAAAATATGATTTTAGCCATTTATTGCTGGACTAAATGAACGTGAGAAACTTTTTTTAAATAAAAGTGCATGCTATTGTTTGAACCATACTTGAAAAACAAGCAAAATAAATTACTTTAAATGGAATAAATTAAGAAGAAAAATCACCGAGTTCTGCATACACAGAATTTTAAGTAATTTAGACTTTTAAGCGTAATTTAAAAAGATATTTTAAACAGAAAAACTATTTTTAAATATTACAGAGCAGTAATACTTGATTGAAAATATCAATTTAACCTGAAAATGGTAGTCACAGCTTCTAACTTAGAAACAGAGAACATATATAAAAAAATAAAATCTGAAAGCTTTCAGATTTTTCATTACATTAAGGGGCATTTTTTTAACTTTTTGTGCAGTACCTTTATTTATTAAATATCATGTTCTTCGCTCTTAAACCAAAAATTCAGTTCATTGCAAAATAATTTTAGAATGAGCATTGCATGCGTGCCGAATGCACGATCAGAAAACGGCTGACTGACCAGAACTTTCTCCTCTTTTTTAAGCATAACGTCGATAATAAAACGATAATAAAAGAAACTCTAAATTTCAAATTTGGGCTTCCAGATGCCCATATTAGCAGAAAAATTACATTATTCAAAATTGGACGGCTCTAAGTACCGTTGTTTTATCACAATGCGAGAAACAAGCATACATTTATGCAGCTTCATCATTATTTAATTTCTTTAAATGCAATAAGGGACATATTTGGTGGCAACAATTTGAAAAGTGAAACAACGCTTGTAGTTTCCTCTTTGGACTAAAAATTATGTACTCGATTATATACAGGCTTTTCATTTTTCAGCAACGAGCTTAGTGCATTTAATTTCTTAAAAAAAAAGGATAAATTGAAAAATAAACTAAAGTAATGCAAGCGTAAGACATTTGCAAAGTAAAGAACTGTAAAGATTAATAACAAGACAAGAGGTGAGAGTAAACAAAAATCTTTTCTTGGAATTACAAGTTTTCAACGTGTCCATCTTCATAGACGATAGCTCATTGTATGCAGTAGATCAGTGACAACGATTACAAACGTAGCACACAAAAGCAATCCGTGTAACTTATAGTTTTATGTCCTTCTTCTGTTCAACCGAGAAGTGAAATACGCAAGACCAATCTGTATCCTTGATTGATTTGCTTTTCTTTCTTATCATACGTATCTAAACAGCATATATCTATAATAAAACCTTTGTAAATTATGTTTCTTATTCTTACTACTTTTATAGGTAGGTAATATTGTTATTACTGGGGAAGAGGGCGCGAAAATTTTTATTTTTGGCAGTCGGGGGACGTGACAAAAACATCTTTGGGAACCCATGGGCAGTACTTAGTTAAATCATTAATGGCATTGTTGATTACGCTTCATACATAAAACAAGATATTTTCCCTTAATTTGATTAAAATTCAGTATTATTACAATCTCGAAACAAGATCACGTCGATTTCTAAAATTTAAGAGTGGCTAAAATATTTTTTGAGTTTTACATCTTGAAAATTGAAGCACTGAAAGCAAAAATTAAAACTTTTCAGAATTTGACTAACATTGAAGCTGCATTAAAAATACAATGCTCCAAAGAACCGTGTTAATCCTCAGTAATACCGCTAACATAATTTTTAATAAATTAGATCTATTATTTTACAGATTTTTAAAAATGTGACTTTCATCGTAGAGAAGAATATTAAGTCACATATGGAAGAATGGATTTTGTTTTTACAACCCTCTGCCGAATGGTTATATGTTATTAAAACAAACGATATGTTATCTTTTCCGGATGAAGTAATTGTTCTTTATTCACCTTAAGAAGTCTTTTTTTTTTTTTTTTTTTTTTTTTTTTTTTTTTTTTTAATTTTCCTTGTTCCGTTTACAATTTATTCCTGAGTAACTTTTTGTCTAACAACATTTCCCTCTTCCAATGTCTTTCTGGCAACTGTAAGGAAACGTTAAGAACAGAAAGGTTAAAATGGTACTATTTTCGATGTTCTCATTCAGAACACCTCATAAAAAATAAAAAAAATAAAAAAAAGGGGGGCCTAAAATGATGCGTTTTTTTTTTTTTTTTTTTTTTTGTCACTTCTAGAAAGCCCAAAATGGATACTCGAATTCTGAAGGAAAAAGCAAATCAATAGGCTATTATTGCATCAATTTTTATAAATTTGTGTGCAGTATGTACAGTGATATGCTCGGAATTTCTAATGAATATCTTTCTTTCGCAGCATTTCCCTTCTGCGCGTGTTGTCTTCCAAAACCCGTGACTTCCTCGGTGGTGACGTCACAAAGCTCTTCTCCCGACCCGACGTCTACTAGCGTCACTGATTTGCGCAGGAAGGCGAGAGAGCACTCTCAGGCGCTGCTTCAGTCCGCCATTCTCAACAGTGGCGCCACCCAGCGGCAGCAAGATCCGGCGTGATGCGAACGTCTCGTCTCCAGCTCGCTGAAGCAGACAATATCCATTAATAACATTTCAATTTACGATAAGTTTGATACGCCAATGCTTTATTTCGAAGTATTATTCGAGAACTTATGATGAGAAAACTCGATGCTCGTCGTAATTGTGCTTTCAAAGATTCATCCTGTTTATGAATTTTGCCATGTTCTAAGCAGAAGACATTCGGCATTTTGAATGTGACAGACGTCTCTGCTTTCGAATATTCGACAAAAAGTTATCTTTTGCTCATGTTTTACCTCTCGAGTCTATTATGATTTTAAAAGAAAGTATTACGAGTTGATTACGTTTATGTTTAAGATGAAAGACATCTTCATGCCCAGTTTATTGTAAATTTAAGATAAATTGTAAAATCATAAGCTTTATATACTTATTTCTAAACATTTTAATGAAGAACTTATTTAAAAGTGCCTAATTTAAGCGAAATCATCTGAATTTAATTATTTTTTAATAACTATAAGTAATGAATTCTTACATTAATGATAATGAAAAGCAGGTAACTAAAATCTGCATAAAGGAATTATTGCAGTTAAATTGATGCTCATTGCTATTATGAAATCTCAATCCATCTGCTGTCGTTTCCTGGTAAATTTACAGAAGGTGCTCCCGAAAGACGGCTACAAACGTTATATTTGAAAGCCGCAATTATTGTTCTTACGCATGTAATTTAACTACGGATATTGTCAGGTTTCTTAAAATAAAGTGAAAAATTTTATGGAAAAAATTATTTGCCATCTGCTTAACTAATTTTATAATCTAAAAATCGAGAGGGGAAAATTCTGTGGATAATTTAATTTCGAAAAGATGTGGTTACAGTGCGAACATAACGAATGGAAAGTAGTCAAGGATAAACTACTACAGGTAACTATCGTAATATTGTTTCTGTAAAAGAAACCTACATTCCAATAAGAATGGTAAGAATAACAATAATGTTAACAGTACAATATCTTCTACTTCCCTGTAACGTGAATCTTGCCGATTCTTATTGCTGTAACTCTTTGCGCCTCAAATCATCCATAAATAATAAGAAAAGATGAGTGGGCTGCCGACTCGGTGAAATCGTAGACAATGCCAGTTCTTGTTTTCTTCGCCTGATAGTCAATTCTTGTATTAGGCTGTCATAAAGTTTAACAATTAGACGGAAAATTTCGGCGTGACCTTCACGGGTAGTTTGCGAGGGTTTGTCTTCGTCAATAAGACGAAAACAGTCACTACAAGGATGATTGTTTTAAATTTTCCTCCATTGTAAAATTTAGGAAAGCTTGATTTTTAAAATTTTCAGAATTTCCCGCCAAAAAGCTAGGAGCGGGGAGTAGCGGAGAAATTCGGTACCTAAAACCCTTACCGTTGGGTAACTTAATTATATTAAACGTGCATTTCAATGCGAGTTTTCAAGAAAGCCTCATCAGGATTTACTGAACGAAGGAAATGAACCTATATGCAGTTCATGTAATTCTCTTTTATCCATTGAACATACTTTAATTAATTGTCCTCTTTTTAATTCTCATAGGTTACAGTTTTTTCATAAAACAAATCCGATATTGATAGATCTAATCGGGGAACAACCCCATTTTAATATCTTTATTTTTTTAAAAGCAATTAAACTGTATCATAGCATTTAAATTTTAACTACATCTGGTCTTTTAACATAAAGAACTTTAGACAAGTGTTTTCCACACAGAGAATAGTTTTAAAAATAGCTTTCAAATTTCAACCATTGCTGTCTTTGTATTTCGTACCTTCATTTTGTTTTTATACACAGTTATGTCACGCAGTTATACTGTAATTTTGCATAGAAGTACTTTTGTGCGATTCTGGCAATTGTTTCCGTATTTCTACATTTATATATATAACTCTACGCTTGGCGCATCATAACCGCTGGGTTATGCGCCAAAACTCAACACCGACAACATCGATACGAGTTTTACCTTTAAATCAATAAATGCAGAAGCAAAGACTCTGTTCAACAATTAAGCCTAGAAAAAGTTGTTGGAAAAAGAATCGGTATTCTGAATATTTAAATTAAAAGCAAGTTGTTGCATTTGTAAAGTTCATAGCAGCTTAATTATTAATTTTTAATCTACAGAAAGCATGAACTCTGTTATTAAAATTAGAACTTTTCTCAAGCGATCCAAAGAAGCTTCAATGAAATTATATTCATGAAACTAATCCAATTTTATGAACTCATTAATTTGTTAACGTTCTAAAGAGTCTGAAAATGGTAAAACTGGGAAACATACACAAAAGTAAAATATAATTTCAAATTTCTGCAAGCAAGAGAAAATGTATTAAATATTAAATTAAAACTAATATTATTCACTAGTTTGGAGAAAATAACATTGAAATATAACATTTTCTTAAAAATTTCAAAACTCCTGTTAACAAATTATTTTAAAGTAAATTATAAAAGTACCGCAAGATCTTGTTTACAGTAATTAAAAAAAAAGCGTGTTTCGAAGAAATAGATTGGCTTCGATAATTAAAATTATTACCGAGATTTAACGCAATAAATGTTGCGGCTGTAGCTAGTGTTTCATGATCCATTTTCTGTCGGGGACCTCTTTTCAGCGCTGGGATTAGAAAATTTTAAAAATATTTGCATAATTTTCTTCTTTCTTTCTTGTGAATAGCATTTCGCTCTAAGAGTTAGTTTATTGTAAATTGCATTCCCTTAATTATTTTTTATTTTTATTCAGTGTATTCAGTTTTTATTTGCAGTTCTGTGTTAGCATTTCGTTCGTTTTATTTTTTCTCGCACTTATTATTTGAAACGTATTTTATGCAGATTCTTAGTTGAGCTACTTGGATGTGGCATGTGTTTTCATGTTTAAGAAAATTTCCAAACATGCGATTTCACCTGACTTCTATTGTTTAATTTCCAGATCATTGAGGTCTTATCCGCTGCCGATGGATTCCATCTTTCTAAATCTGGGTCTCTCGTTCGTTCCCCTTCTTCTCTGATCCTCGTTTTTCCTCCTGAAAACTGAGGTCAAGACACATTCATGTGAGGTACCTCTGAGGCTTCATAAAATAATTGAGCCGTCTCAGTTACCTTGAGATATATATCGGCTCAATATCTGTCAGATATTTTAATGTTAATATTATTCTGTATTCTTATTAGAATATAGGTCTCTTTTAAAGAAATAATATTGGGATATCTATCGATATTTTATTAATTTACCCGTGACTACTTTTTATTTGCCATGTTCTTACCGTAACTGTGTTCTCGGTAATTAAATTTCTCGCATTATCTCCCCCTCTTAATTTTCGTACAATAAAATTAATTGAAAACGGAGGGGAGGAAATATGGAATTGGAACAAATATGGAATTTAAAAAGATATTTGTCTACAGTTTGATATAAATCAGAGAAATTTTCTAATTTAATTCTAGATCTGGAAAGTTGTTGACACGAGAAGTTTTCAATTTAACCTTTCAGTCTGAAAAGTTAGCTTTAGATGGAAAGCAGTTGTGATAAAATGCCAGGAAAAATGCTTCAAAATGTCTTACTTCATTTGTTTTTTACCTTTACAATATTTAATGCAATGTATAGGGTCCAAAATTTGGCTAAATAATTTCGGTATTTACCTATTATCACGTCGGCTATGAAAGTCGAACTGTGAAATTTGGCCAAAATTGCGCGGAAGGTTTCTGCAGAATTACATTGATTTAAGTGACACTTTTTATTTAATAAACTATCAATATTCGACCCTCTTCGTTTTTTCACTTCCTAATTATGTTTTCATCAATTTTAACTCCATTGTTAGGCCCTTCGATTTTATTGAAAGGTATTTAAAAGAGTGCAAATTTCCGGCAGGTAATTGATCCAATCTATTAATTATTTTGTCGGCCATATTCAGCGAACCGCATCATGTCTAGGAACGTACAATATTTTCGTGGTAAGACCCCATAGCATTGAAAATGATCCACTCCTCGCTGTTCTGTGACACACGACACAAATTTTGATATTTTTTTTTCAAAATGCGAGTAGAAAAAATGCAGCAATAACAATTTCTTCGTGAAAACCAAAAGCGGCTTATAGAGAATCAAATGGGCTTATGACAAGCGAAGGCGCGTACGTCAAGAGTGCTTTTTTATGTCACACTTATCCCAAACTGGCGTTAAATGGCGATGCTTGGCGACAGGTCGACGATATAATACGTAAGTACTATAATTTCATTAAACATTTCTTATTAACATTATTAGTCATTATCCGTATTGATTGCAGTAGCTATATAATCAATTATTCCTATTTATTGTTGTCGTTACTCTCATTATCCTTATTTATTGCAGTTTTTATTTTTAGTTATTATAGTCATATTGCTTATATTTATTGTAGTAATAATAGTTTATTACCTTTACTTTTAAGTCTATCCATTTTTATTTACTCCAAATGTTTAGAAAGTACTCTCTTTTTATTTTTTTGAACTCTAATTCCAACACTTCGTGTTCCATAAAGCATACCACGAGGCTTACACAAGTAAGTTAGAGCACTAACTTAAGTAAAAACAAATACAATAACGCTGTTAAGGGGGGATTTTTAAAAAAATGGTAAGTAAAAGGAAAAATTGAGAAATAAAATAAAATAAAATGATGCAATGAAATAAAGAGAACTGAATAATCTAAAAAGAGAATAAAATTCCAAAAAGTTGAAATCTCTTAAAAGTTCAGAAAAATTGGTGGTTAAGATACAGACAGGTACTTTAAGTGTCCTGAAGTATGTTCCTCTGCTGGACAGAATGAATGATCTAAAGAAAAATATCATTCAATCTAATCTTCATCGCTGCTTCTGCAGCTGCACAAAGCACTGGAAGCAAGCCAGTGCTTTGTGTTGCCAGTACTTTGTGCTTTACTCTTTAAATAACTCTTAAAATTGTCCTGTTCAGTCGAAAATTGAGTTATTGAAAACTGTTTAACTTTTATTCTGGAAAAAGTCTTTATAAAGTTTAACTTGTTTCGAATTCTTTTCTAATTAGAGACAGAACTAATGGCGATTAAGTAAAGCTTACCAAAAACGTATCGGACAAATCTACCAATTCTTACCTTAACACTTACGAATTCCTTCGGTGCTTAAAAAAATTCTAACACCAGAGTAACTCATGCGTGTGGCATAATAAAAAAAAACTTAATTGTTAAACAATAGGAGAAACTAACGTATTATTTAAACCAGAAAAATTTACTGAATATAATTTCTAGATTGTTAGCATTGTTATATGGAATATTATTTATTATTTTATTCCACGAAAGTAAAATGCGGGCACTAAAAATACGCTATCATAATTTAGAAGCATTTCACGCAATGTGAACCTACTTAAAATTTTTGTAGATAAATACGGAGTAAGTTATAATAAGCACTTAAATTTTTAAGTTTTTTGTTGCCTTATTGTACAGAAATAAATTAAATATTGGTATATTCTTTTGAATCATTATTTCTAATACTGCGTTTAAATTTCTTTTGAATTGTCATTTTAATTTTAAGATTTTATATTTATGTTAAAGAGAAATATTATTTTTTAAGTAACATATGCAAGAATTAAATAAAAATTAAATAAAAAGCAGGTTTCGTAGGAATAAGTCTTGCATAATAGATTCAATTGCGAAATGCGCTCGAGCACACAGTAATGTTCAGCGCTGCAGGGTCAAGGGCACACAGGGGAGCTTTGTTCGCTCAAAGTCGGGAGAAAAGAGGTTAAGCTATTTCTTTTCTGAAGATGAGAGATTGCCGT